GTTTGACATATTGAAGAAACAAAATCTATTCAGTTATTACTGAAATGCAAATGTATTGATGTAGCATCAGTCATTTACTGGCAAAAGCTTCTTGTGTGCTGTTTAATTTTAATGTGAGTTCGGAAAATTCACAATTGAAATGTGTTTGCAAAATAGTTTACATCATAATTTATGTTTTGTTTTTTTTTTATCTTGCAACTCTCATGCAAGTCAGCACAGGTGTTAAAAAAAAAAAAAAACGCCTGTGTAGCATTTTGGTCAAACAGTAACTTGATGTTATCTCATAGGAGAGGTGATCGTACTCAGGTTAAGCTGAGACGGTGAACACCAGCTGCCCAGAACCATTCTGACCTGAATGTCTGTTGAATCTTCAGACTGACAACACATTGGTACGACCGCAGCCAAAAGGTGCTCACCTGCAAACAGCTTTGCCTCCTTCCACCACACAGACTCCCTCATTCTTACACTCCACGTTGAGGCAGGCGGTGGAGGAAGGGGAGGTGGGGCCGCCTGGTTGTGGGGGGGCGGGGGTGCTTGGTTGTGGGGGGGTGGGGCTGCTTGGTTGTGGGGGGGTGGGGCTGCTTGGTTGTGGGGGGGTGGGGCTGCTTGGTTGTGGGGGGGTGGTCGGTCGTAAGGAAGGCAAAGGCTGGGTCGTCGTCAGATGGGACACATCTGAAGAGGGACAGCAAATGAGAGAGCAGTTGTTAAACATGAAAACGATTACTCGGCATCATTAACTTGAGTGTTTTTCCAACAAGCGGGTATGTAAATCATGAATGTAATCATGCATCCCTGACCTACATAATCCCACGAATGCTGTTTGCACAATTAGCATGTACAGTCGTCCTCACATTTATTCATAGCCTCCCATTAAAGAAGGGAAAAAAAACAAACATCTGAAATAGGTGGAAAAAGTTCAAATTGACAAAAGTAATATAAATAAAAAATTTAAGGAAAATCATGACTTTGCTTTTGAATTGTGGTTCAACAGAAATATATATTTTTTTAAAACAACCCAAGTAAACAAGCATGATGGGACCCGTAAACTAACATTTAGTTGAACAACCCTTTGAGCCAATCACTGCCATCAGGTGTTTCCTGTAACTCTCAGTCAGACTTCTGCACCTGTTGACAGGTATCAGTGCTCTAATTTGTCAGAAATGTTTTATTTTGTTTTATTTTTTTAAATTATTCTTTTCAACCACAATTCAAAAGCAACGTCTTATTTCACTAAATTATAATTTAGCAAATTTTTATTTATTATCACTTTCTTCGGTTTCTAGTTGTTTTAATGACTATCGTGAATTTTGCCTTTTCCATAATGGAAGGGGATGAATACATTTGAGGACGACTGTGTTGTAGCAGAATGGGGTGGCTGCACAACAAAGGCAGCCCAAAGCATTTTAACACCACCAAATGTTTTTGATGTTGGGTTTATAGTGTAATCTTTCACCCTCCATGGTGAGCAGAAAGATGGCGTCTCCTCCCTTGATGAAATCTCTGCTTTTGGCCCTGAGGTGGGTGAGATACACAGCGGTGCCGGCGCCTGGCCCTCGGAAATACTTTGATCCGTCTGTGTCCGTGAACTCTTGTCCAACCTTCCGAGGATCATCCCAGAAAAACTGGTCAGAATCTGTTTGAAAACCAGCAAAAACAGTCAATTTAACGATTTTGTTTTTAACGATGTTTTGAGTCTCTCCGGCAGTGAAAGTCGCAGCACCTGTTGCCTTCTTGTTGGGGTCGGTGGTGACGCTGCGCTGGTTGGACATGCGCTTCTGGATGTGCGGGTTCTGGTCCATTAGCATCATGGTTATCTGTTTCCAGGGGCACGGCCACGTCTGTCCCGTGTCCCCTTGGCGGGCCACCAGGTGAGCGTAGGCCGACAGCTCTCCGGGGTAGCCTTGTCTCCCGCTGGGGAACAGCTGCATTTGGAAGGTATAACCCTCCTTGGAGGTGAACGGGGGGCTGAAGATGGCCGTGTTTATCGGGGTGTTGTCCATGACATCATTGAAGTTTTGTACTCGCCATACGAACTCTGGGCAGGTGGTCTCAGAGAGGTTGATGTCATCCAGAGACATCCCCCCCGTTGCGGGCCCAGTACCCTGTTTGGCCCCTTCGAAGACGACTCGGAATTTGGTTTTGGCGTCCAGACTGACGTGGTGCAGCTGCCACAGGTCCTGAGGGGGTCCTGTAACGGTAAGCACACGGTAGTCACATCTCACCAGCAGGATTCAACAGATTCTGAACAGCGATACGGTTTCACAACATTCACCGTCTACGGTCTTTATGAGGCGCAGTTTTCCGTTGGGGTTTGCCGCGTCGTACTCCCTGACGTAGATCTTCAGTGTGTCGCTGGCTCCTGCGGTGTTGTAGTAGAAGAACTGCAGGCACTGGTAACCTCTTTTGGGATAGACGAGTCTGCTCTCCAGCAGAGCCGTGTCTCCAACGTTGGCTGTGCCGGTGCTGAAGTGCATGAAATACCCCGAGTCTGAAGATATAAATGATTAATAACAGCAGCATGTAAGCGTTACTGCACAATGGTGAGATGGAAAAGTGCAATCTATCACAGAGATTTGTCTATATTAACCCTTCTGGCATTTAGCAAATAGAAATGCTTTTGGTAATCCTAACTGACCCAAAACAGGAAAAGTTTAGTCTAGTTTAATGTCAGACAGTAAGAAAAAAGGTCTTTTTGTACATATGTATATGTAAATTTTAAAATTGGACTCATTTTAACATTTGACAGCAGTAAAAACACCCTAAATGTCATTTTTGCAGCCTGAAATGTGATGATTTTCCCAAAGTGACCCCAAAATACTTTTTAGTATTTATACTTTTGTACAGGTGCTACAACTTTTTGTACACTGAGGCTGTTTAAGGGCCAAATTAGACCCATAAATATTAATTGAGATGGATTTTAGATCCACCAGTGTGGGTCAAATCAAGGAAAATGTTGGTTTTCGGGAATCTTGAAACCGTGAAACTGTACAGGCCATGTTTTAAGTGTGTTTTTATTTACATTTATGAACGGGACATCGGTTATTTAGACATTCTAAACAGATCTGGAGTTTAAAAATTAGTACAGACACTTACTAAGAGGGAAATCTTGACTGGAATTATTAAAAGTATGTAAGGGTTAACTCATTATTAACTTATCTCAACAAGCACACATGCTGATGCTTGCTGGCTAAGAGGAGACTGTTTCTAATATGTGAATTTAATGGAAGAGATGTGGAGCAAAATGCATTTTAAAGCCCCGAAAAGGTTCAGTGCGGCTTCATCTGTTGGTTTTAAATTCCGTCTTTGTGTTTCCCTGATCCTTTTTCAAGCACGTTAAGACAGAATGATAAAAATGGGATCTTGTCCTTTAAATCAAAAGTGTGCATCTGTGTCTGTACGCTTCATGCGAGTCACTCCGAGCTCATCCTCACCTGTGCATTTGCCCAAGTTGGAGTAGTCAGTGTCGGGCCCCCCGACAGCCGTGGAAACCCTCTGCCAGTCGGCCTTATCTCCTTTTCCCTGGACCATGCCGCAGATGTTTTCACGTTCAAAGTCGCATGAGTCCAGGAAGGTGGAGCCCTGGGCTGGAAGACATTTCATAAACACACAAGTGAAGAAGAACTCTGAACTGCAGTAAACTGTTCAATTACGCAAACATTGTAGAGATAAGCCATCTGATCGGCCACATTGCAATTTGCTGCATTGACGTTATCTGCACTGATGCATCGTGCTGACATTTACGGATTCTTACTGCAGTTGTAGAGGCGGTGCAGCTTGAGCAGGTCGCTGTCACTGAACTCCATCCGCTGGCCGATGACGTCGCTGAAAGCGGCGATCTTGGTGACGATGGTGGGCTCGGTGCCGTTGCGGAAGGCGTTTTTGCTGTAGTGCATCATGGAGCCGTAGTCGTAGGGCACGCCCAGAGAGCTGGAGGTGGTGTCGTCGTAGGTGGCAAAGTTGTGCTCTTTACCTGCGGATCAGTCGGTGCAGTTTAATTCATTATCACATTGTGTGATTCCTTATCCTTAAAGCGCAGGTGGATGTTTATTGAGCTCTCTCATAAAAGTCAGTTGTCAACAAGTGTTTAAAGCTCTGACAGATGGAAGCGAACATATCAAAGTGCACTGTACTTTAATCAGGTCTTTATTAGCAGTTTGATGAGCATAGGTCAGCGCCACTGAGACAGCTTGCCTTTGCTTATCTTGTTGTGATCCTGCTGTCAGGAGAGCAACACATGCTTATCACACAAGCAGTAAATCAAATCCAGAGTGCACTGAGCACTTCCCACTACGTCCTTCATAACAAACCTCTTGAACGCCGCTTGGCCTGAAGTAATTTTCCTGTTTGATTAGAATTTCGATTTTCTGAAAAGCTACTATAGACGTAATGTATAACATATAAGCATTTTACACAATGTCTCAGTCTTATCAAATCATAATCATACTTGTGCAAACCAGAGTCATGAAGGAGGCATGTCATAAAGGGATGAATCATATGTGGGAGCATGAATGGCCAGCGTTATAATTATGACTATAATTCAGATGGCTGGCTAACAGTGGGAGATTCGTTACCTTCTGAGATGCGGTCCCACATGATGTTGACGTAATCATCGCGGTCTGACCTGGACTGCTCATGCCAGAAACCCAGAGCATGGAGGAACTCGTGTTCGATGGTGGCGATGCGGTCGCAGTTGGTTCCTATGGACAGCCTCTGCTTCCCAACGTGCCGGTTACCAACGGAGGAGAAACAGCTTTTGGAAAGAGAACAAGACGTTATCTCAAAGATGCTTTCTGAAATAATAACCATGCAGAATATTCCAAGAATTCATCTTTTAAAAAGTTTAGCCTGTCTCGCAAATTATTCATCTTTAAGGTCAGTCTGAGTCGATCTAGACTGAATTCAGAAAAAGTGTTTTCATTTTTTATGCTTCTTGTTAACAATCTACCTATTTGCTCTTTGGAACAAGTTCTGTAAAATATGTGGGCTCAATCTTGGCAATTTCATGTTATTAGATCTGGAGTTTTTGTATTTTTAAAGTAAATTTTTTGGCCTTTGTTGGATAGTGTCAGTGAGAGAGAGACAGGAAAGTAGGGGAGAAGAATTGGAAGAGGACATGTATTAAAGGATTCGAACTCATGACCTCCACATTGGGACTGTAGCCCTGCACATGGGACGCCAGCTCAACCAGGTGAGCTATAGCAGCGCCCAAGAATTTTTGTATTTTTACCCTCAAAAAACATCTTTCCGAACAAATAAACTCAGCTGGAGTAACACCACTACTGGAAATGAAACGTCTCCTTCCCTTACCCGCTCCCTTTAAAGACAGAAATGTAGTTTGCTTCTCCGTTCCAAGGCTGGAAGTCGATGCAGGTCTTGAGCCGGTACTGCTCAAAGGCTTTAAGAATCACACCTTTCGCATTGATCTCTGCAGAGAAAATGATAAATTTGCTTTTACAGATGACTATAATGCAGCGTGAACACAGTAAAGCACCCTTGTTTCATTACTTAAACCTGCGTGGGTCATCGTTTGTAAACGACTGAACCTAAAACATGCAATTTTTAGGGTGCGAGTTGTGTACTGTAACTGAAAAAAGGTAGTTTGTCTTAGTGGTGAGACATGGAATTACTAGTATGTTGTAATATTCAACCTTAAAAAAAAAGAAATTCAACAAAAATAGTCCAACAAAAATAATTAAAAAGGAAAATCCTAACAAATGAAAAACAAAAAATAGAAATATTTGCCTGTGCTATTTGCTGGAGTATCACTGTCTTATCGTATGGCTGCAGTATGAAAATAATCTACTGTTAATAAGTGAAAGGCTGCAATAAAAGTATGATGCATGGCAGGCACTGTTCATTTTATTATGTCACTGTCATCAACTTTACTATCGATGCTGTAATCAGTAAAGAAGCATCTTAATGCTGCATTTGATGAAGGAGAATCTACATTTTATCTGCTTCCTATATGACAGTCTACAATAATGCATCATACAGTTGTGTTTATGTGCAATCTTAATCCAAGAAGCAGCTCGTAACTGTAGCTGGAGAAAAAGTACATTTTCCTCTGTAATGTAGCGGACTTGAAGGATTAAATAAAAATACTTATGCATGTAAATCAAACACAAAAAGGAGCTACCTTTGCTTTTACTTTCCGTCACTTATACCACAGGACTAATACTTTATGCTCCACATTGTGTGAATCCTCCCATATTCTCCTCAACCTAAAGCTGCAGAGACATTCTTTACATCTATTTCTATTTCTCTTACCCAGGTCGTCTTCAAAGTAGTACGGGATCGTCTTCGGCCACCTGTACTCGTCTCCGATTATGGAGTTCCGAGTTTGCTTCTGCGAAGATTGGAAGAGCATAAAAAGTCAGGGTTGAACCTTCCTCCACAAAAAGCCACTTGTGCAAATGAAAATGACAAAAAAATAATAATTTAAAAAAAGCACCTCGTCGAGCACGATGTCGCCCTCGAACAGATCCAGCCCGGCTTCTGTGGAGGCCAAGCACCAAGGTTAGGATTTACAAGGTGGCTGCATATAAAAGTGTGGACGCTGCAAGAAGAAAGCTCTACAAACCTTCATTGATGTCAAATATGTCGAGGTCCTGTCCGCCGTCCACATCGTAGTCTATAAGTGGACATGAGGAAAGTTATAATCAAAGCAGGGAGCAAAAAAAGAAAAACCAATAAGTGTTCATTGAAAGAAAGACTCACCTGAAACTTTACCTGTGGGCTGGAAGGTAGAAAATAAAAAGGTTACATGTTGTTGATTTGCAAATAAAACTCAAGTTTGTAGTTTTTTTAAATAAAACCAATATCTTACCAAGCAAAGGGCAGCGCCACAAAGAAGGCAGAGAGCGAGAAGAATCAGCTCGGCTTTTCTTCCTGCCATGTCCGTGAATCTCCCTCTGCTCGGGAGGCGACGGGTACTGATCTCTGACAGACCAGGAACAGTTGCCTGCGATCAATAAAACAAAAAGACACGTGAAGGCGAGTGAATAACTGACAGAGCTGTTAAGTGGCGTAGTTACACAGCAACCGCAATCTGCTCTGCTATCAGTCAACAAATCTTTACACACTTGATGGAGGGTCAGCAAAAACAGTCATGTAGACAAGTTTCTAAAGTCATTACCAGCTGATGTTTATCCTTTACACAGATAAGCATCATGTTGGATTTGCACTTGGTCTGTCATTCAAAAAAAACAGAAGAAACTGAGATTTACAAACTTCCTGTCTACTTTGCTCTAACCTCCAGCTGTCCCATCCCAGTAGGCTGAAGACTGGGATGTCTCTTGTTAAATTAACAACACTTAGGGCTTCATCTCGGCGCTGCTTTGTGCTGCTTTGATTGCCGGAGGAAACACAAAGGCTCTGCGTCAAAACCCTCAATGACTGTACCGACTCAACAACCGAACAAAGACGCGAACTGACAGCCGCCCACGCCGACGAAAAATTCTGGAGTTTTTATTCCCCCTCTTAAAACTATCGTTGCTGTCTAGATACTACATGTGTTGGATTCGCCCAAGGTGGGGCTTTGTCTTGTCGCAGCTGCACTTGAAATCTCACCTTTTTTGCATCATTGTTGGAGAGCAAAAAGAAGGTGAATGTCGGGTACAGTCGAGAATTCTTCCACATGACTGAGTTTCCACTGTTATTCGGGCACGTCATTGTTGTGTTTCCTTCAGTGGATGCCTCTGAAGCTTACAGATGCTCTCATCATTTCTTTGAGAGGAAATATCCATTCATCCACTTACTGCACAGTTTGTTCATTGTGTTTAAAGTCAAGGAAACTGCTGCTTCTTATGATGAGGTAGAAACGGATAAACCTCCTGGAGAGATCATCCGTCTATCTCAGGGGTCAACAGACAAACACTGGGAGCTTCCATTTAACCAAATCTGCAGTACTTTGGATTGTAGGATGAAAAGGTCATGATCAACACTGTAAAGCAGCAAAACTTATGACCACAAATGTAAACAACAGATTGTGCAAAATACCCCACCAGACTGGCTCATAGCATCGTGGCAAAGCTCTGGATTCCCCACAAGAGGAAGCTGTTTAATCACCAGGACAGGACTAGATGTCACATTACCTCAATAAAAGAAAAATATATTTTTTTTTCTTTTCTAACAGCTGCAGCACTGCTATTGCTTGTGATTTAATTAAGGCCTTGTCCACACGTAGCAGGGTTTTTATAAAACCGAATATCCTCTCCCCTACACACCGCCTTGTTTTCATCCACACCTGATCGCATAGGTGTGTTGTTAATTCATAAGCATGCCAAACCTTTAGGTGGCGGTAGTTCCCCAGATCCTGTCCAATCAGAGTGAGCTTCTGTCTCTCAACGTCATAACATAACCGTCCTTAGCGTTGTCCTTCGCTTGTGTTCTTGTACATGGAGCAAGAGACGACGCCAACACGGTTCTGAGGGCGTCCACGCTGTTTCCAAATGTAAACACAGGTCGCATATGTGACGTTAGGACATATTTTGTCGCAGGTAGTGACTTTTTGAAACCTAAAACCTGGTTATTGACGTCCACATAGAGACGCATAAACAGAGGATTCGCAAATCTTCACTTTGGTCGGAGGTTTTTGGAAGAATCGTTTTTAATGCCGTAGATCTGCGCTTTCGTGTGGATGACAGGCCACATCGTAGAAACATATCTTTGTTTTGTGAGATCCTCTGCTACATGTGGACAAGGCCTAAGTTGTTTCTCCAGTTGACACCGAAATAGCAACACAATACTTTCGCTGCACATGATTATCAAACAAATGAGCATTTATGTTCTCATCCTGTAGATTAACTTTCGGTTTCAAAACACAAACGATCAGTGCTGTAACACCTCATTGCCTGCAGAGGGCACAGGTGTGAAAATAGTAGCAGTTAGTGCTCTCCTCACCTGTAGATGGCGTTTCTCAACAGGAAGTGTGTTTATTTTTCTTGCCAGTAGGTGGTGCAGGTTGGAGATAAATGATGCTGAGTCTGCACAGTTTTGAATCAGTGCTTTATTTTTATACCCTTTCATCCTGCAGATGGCAGTAGAGATCACTGAAGACCACTGACTGTGCATGCAAAAAAAAAAGGGGGCAAAGTCCAAGTTAGGTTTTGTTTGTCTGTTTATTTTTTCCCCCCTTTTTCCATTTTGGGTCCAACAGTCGCTTGTTTCTCTGCAGACCGTTCTGTGTTCTTTGTGAGGTTTGTCTCCGTGAAGCTGCGTTTCATCGTGTCCTTGCTCAAAGTGGAACTAGGACAAACCGGGAGGAAACAATCACGTCACATCCATGCACACATTTGTGTGGCATATTTTCGGCCCGCTGATTACGTATTGATGTTTCCCGGCCTCTGCTTTGTATTACTTAAATTATGGTTTTATAGGATAGGTGGGAGTAATGGAGCTGAACTGATGCGACTCGCGCGCCGGTCGTATTTTTCCTGTGACTTATAAGCAGCAATGTGATGGATCAAATCAGACTCTTTTATGCAGAACACCTACAAGACTTTGTGGTAAATATATATATATATTCTTTAAAAAAAAAAAGTCCTTTACTGTGATGGAATGTCACGTCCCAGAGAAGGTCTCGGGGGGTAATTCAGTCTCTGGCTCTCTGTTACATTAAGCTGATAAGTGACAGTTCCTGATTAGAAAAAAGGTGCATGTGTGCTCATGTGGTTGGTGTCTGCAGGGCGCCGTTCAGACCATTTCCTGTGTGATTTACCTTTGTGCGGCGAATTCTGAGAAATTTCTGGAGGTTCATCGAGGTCGTAGCCGTCAGTTATTTATCGTTAATTCGTTACAAAATATTCTAACCACATTTCCAGTATTTTACAGTGCCGCAGAAATCATCTCCGTTTGATCTCTCGTGTTGTTTTGTCTTCGCTGGAAAACCCCCCCTAGCACAGACGAGGTGAGTCACGATACATCGGAAACTGTGGCCGTATTAACACCTACTGGCCTTCGCTTCAGGACTTTTTTGGGTGTTGAATCGGCTCCAGTGCTGAATTTTAAACGAGTTTGTGCCTCTCTACATGGTGTCTGTAAAACATTAATAGGATATATAATGAGAGGGTCTAATAGAGAGTGATGATACACTGCTCTCCTATAGGTCACTCTATGAATTATTGACTGTTCACATCTACAAAGGTTTGTTAGCTTTTCATACATAAATAGAACGTGTGGACATTACGCTTATTACTTCTTCAAGTGTAGTATTAGTTTATTTTTATAGCGCTTTAATCAGTTCCTAACCTCTTCTTGAACCCTGTCACAGGTGTGATGCTTCACATGTTTGAGCGGCTGCATGCGTGTAGATCCGAATTAATGCCGGAAAGGTTGTCAGAGTCGACGTGCATCGTCTCTGCCACAGTTAATTAAGCTCCCACATGAGAATAGGCACGTGCAGAAGATTGGATTTTCAAAGCGTCTCTTTCTATACCGATGATGTACAAAACTGTAGCCGAAACATGACGGGAATTTCATCGCCGCAAGATAAAAGCTGTTACTTCCACTGATCAATCAAAAGCTCCTCAGCCGCCCGATGTGTTCTCACATCCAGTTTGATGCTATTACTCGTTCATTACTCTGCTCCACCCAACAAAAGCATCTTGACATATTTAGAGAAGAGTCGTACGTGTGATCTGCATAGGAATGCGTAATTTACAGACGGCGGGTTAATGTTGGTAGAATCGTTCTTACGGATCCGTCCTGCTGTGAGCAGCTTGAGCTCCGCAAGGCTTGCTGGAATATAACAAGCCCGCTCTTTTCATTGATCTGGTGATCAGAGAAGACATATCTGTATAATCTCTCCCGCATTTATATTTTCTGTTTGGTTTCAAAAGCCTCAGAGCGCGCAGTGTTGAGGATGAGTTGTGGTAGAAATATTTATACGCCACCAAATGATGTCATGATGTGGAGCTTCCTAAACCATAACAGCACATGAGGGGGTTCAGGGCCAAAGTGGGCCACACCACATTTACTAGATTTGGAGAAAAATGGGGTCAAAAAAAAATAAAAATCCTTATATGCATTTAAAGATGTTTCAGCGCTGTCCAGAGATAGAAGCAGCTGCTTCATGATAACTTATTGAAGTTTTGCTGAGCGCCAATCCAAATCAAATCCAGTTTGTTGTCATGTTGCTGTACATACACAGCAGCACAGGCCAGATGAGAGAGCGTTTCTTCAGGATCCGATAACTTAAAGCAATTTAAATAAAGAAGTGTTTGCACATCTGGATCAGCAGCTCAGCATTCTGACAGCTGGTGGAATGAAGCTGTTGATCATTCTGGAGGTTTTTTCCTTAAGGAGGGTGTGAGGAGTCCCTGACAGTGTTCAAGGTCCTGCTCCTGCACCGGCTCTGGAAAAGTTCTTGGACAGAGGTGAGGGAAACTCCGATGCCCCTCTCAGCTCCTCTAACTATCCTCTGCAGGGCTTTTCTGTCTGACACACTGCAGCTGGAGCACCATGTGGAGATGCAGGATGTCAGAACGCTCTCCATCACACCTCTGTAAGAAGTCCTGAGGATGCTGGCAGAGAGAGAGGCTTGTTTCAGGCTCCTCAGGAAATGCAGTCTCTGCTGGGACCGTTTGAGGATCGCTGTGGTGTTCGTATTCCAGCTCAGGTCCTGCGAGATCTTTGCTGAGTGCCGAAGCAGGCCGTACCACATTTTCTACTTTTTGAGGGGAACAAAACTGATTCAAGGTTTGTGTTGCTAAACAGCATTGAAGAGTTCACATCATCAGGAACTAGAGATACTTCTGAGGACCATAAGGTAGAAACAGATGCTTGATGGTGGTTAATTCAGTTTTTATTTTACCTCACTGTACCTACGAGTTGAGTTTTCAGGGGGCTTGAGGTCGAGCTGTCCGCCATCTTCAATCTCAAACACATTGCAACGACCTGCAAAAATGTCAGTGATTCCTGTGGCTTGGTCCCGTTTGTCACTAAATTTTCACACCAAAACCATCATGGGCCAAACTTCTAAGTGGCATCGTGACATTACTAGTGGGCTGCTGGTTGGACCACTTTTCTATGAACTAGTCAACCATAAACCAAAAAAAACAAAGAGAAAACTCAACTTTGGATTTTTTGTTGTTTGGCCCACTTTGGCACTTACTTTATAGTTTATCTTACCATTCAAATATAATCACATCTTAATCGTAGCTCGCTCGTGATTCCTGCCAGTTGTAATGATGCTTCCTGGCTGATCACTACTTAAATATCTCAGCCAAGTAAACTTGACTTCAACTTTAAATAATTGTAATTTTATTGGGAGTAAATCATAGTTTAGGGGAAACAATTCTGCACATTTTAAGCTCTTAACTTTAAACTGACAGACCTTTTTAGCCACTGTGTAATTGCTGTAGCATTATAATTATATCTGCAGACACTTTATCCTCCTTTAAAACTCTTTTAAAAACACATTTTTACAGATGTGCTTTTTTTTATGAATGGACTTTTACTCCGTTTGATTGCAGTATCAAGGTGAGTACATTTTAGCTTCTGACTGTTTTATTCCTTCCTTTATTGTCTTTTAATTGTCTTCTTTTACCGGGTTTTTATTCTTCTTATATATTTTTATATTGTTTATTGTCTTTCATGCTTCATGTGTTTCACCTTCACCATTTCTTTCTCTTTTTTTT